GTCAATAGTTACCATATTAGAAATTAAAATTGATAAAATGAAAACATCAATTCATTAAAATTTCAATAATAAGCCTATTGCATTAACAACATTTTAAATAAAAAACTATTTTTCCCCAAAATTACTAAGAAGAGTAGCACTGTGTTTTTGTTTTTAAGCTAATAGCTATAATGTCTGGCTTAACAGAAGATAGCTTGATTCTCTTATATGCTTCTGCAATATATTGTTTTTGTTGAAGTATGTGGATAAACCCAAGCCTTACACAGATACATAGTCAAAAAAGGTAGGAGCATTTTAATGGTCTTTTTAGGTAATCCTGGCCATTCTTTGCTACTATGACAAACAAGTGGTAGCTTCTTAAAAGTTAGTTGCAGTATAAACGTCTTAAACCATATTAGCAGAGCAATGAGGTCTGTTACATTAAAACCCATTGGCCTGGGCTGGCCTGGTGGCGCACTGCCGAGGGTTCGGATCCCACATACAGACCGGTTCCTGCTCACTGGCTGAGCGGGGTGCGGGTGCGGCACTGAGGGTTGCGATCCCGTTGCCGGTCCTGGTCCAGTGCGGGCGCAACACTGAGGGTTGCGATCTGTTGCCGGACACGAAAAAAGACAAAAAAAACAAAACAAAAAATCATTTAGCAAATATTGAGCACCTACTGTATGTCAGGTATTGCTCTAAGGAGACACAACAGTGAACAAAATAGACAAAAACCCCGCCCTTCAGGAGCTCACGTTCTAGAGGAGAGAGAGACAATAAGCAAAGAAGGAAATAAATACATGGTCTGCCAGATGGAGATAAGTGCCAGCCAGGAGGGGGATGGGACATGCTCCGGGAGGAGGTTGTTGTTTGAGACAGTGTAGCCAGGACAGACCTCAGCTGACACGCGGTGTTTTTCCGAAAGACTTAAAGTTGGTGAGGGAGTGAGTCAGGTGGTGTACGGGAAGAGAGAACAGCCAGTGCAAAGGCCCTGAGGCATGTTTAAAGGACACGATGTGGCTGGGGCAGAGAGGGCCTGCGGGAGAAAGAATGAGGCCAAGAGGTCCTGGGGGTAGACTGAGGGGCCTTTGGCTTCTGCTCTGAGCTGGTAGGGAGCCATGGGTTTTTTAGAGACATGATCTTAAGTGTATTTTTTTTTAATTTTGGTAAATTTCAAACTATATGTAAATAAAGAGAATGGTAAAATGAAGCCCCTTGTACCTGTTTCATGGCTGAGGGTTTTTTTTTCATTTAAAAAAATGTAATCGGGCTGGCCCGTGGCTCACTTGGGTGAGCGTGGTGCTGACAACACCAAGTCAAGGGTTAAGATCCCCTTACCAGTCATCTTTAAAAAAAAAAAAAAAAGAATGTAAGGTCGTGTGTACATACAGTAGTGATTCCTCCTTTTAGCGTGTTGTTCTGCAAGTTTTGACAAATACATCTGGTCATGTGACCACCACTTCTACCCAGGTTTAAAAGTTTATCACCCCCCAGGTTCCCATGCCCCCTTTAACTCCTCCCCAACCCCACCCTACCTGTTTCTGTCCCTATCATTTTCTCTTTTCCAGAGGGTGGTATAAAAGGAATCATGTGGCATGTGGCCTTCATGTCTGGCTTCCTGCATACAGCA